TTTTTGAGGTTGAGAGGCGGGAAATCTGAGGAATCTGATTCCAGGATGGGTGTTAAATGGGGGATAAATGGCTTTTCTGTGGTGAGATAAGAACCACGCTTTAGCCTGAGTCAAGGAATCTATTGCAAAAGAGAACAGAATGTTGCACTCTTAATAAGGACAGAATTCCTGTGGTTTCTCATTTATTAGCAAAGGATTTCCTTGGCAAACCTTAAGCAGACAGGTGATGGCCCTCCCATTGTTTCAGTATGATAGTATTAAGATGGCTATTTTTGGCAGTGGAACATGGTCACTCTTGGGTCATGCGATAGCTTGGAGCTGATCCTGTTTTGCATGAGCAAAGAATGGCAGAAGGAAGTGGAGAAAAGAGTTTATGAGAGGGGGGCAGAAAGAGAGGCAGGGGGAAGGGGGGAGAGTTTCCAGCTTTATTTCATTATTTTTCCATCACATCTCATAAGCCCTTGATTTGGCAGTAACTCCCTTTCTCCCAAAGAGAATGGTCATTAATGGTGAAAGGGATAAAAATGATACTTCTGCTAATTTGGGTCTCAATAGTTTAAAAAATGTTTTCTTTTTGTTCTTTTTGCAAATTAAAAGGGGTATGTGGAAACTTCAAGAATACTTTGCTCTTACAGTTTTAATTTTTCTTTCCTTGGCCAGCTCTGTGTTCACCAGATAAGGCTGTATAATAACTTTTGTTTGCTAAAGCAAAAATACATTTCTGAGTTTGAGAAGACTTTATGGAGGTACCAACATCAGCATCGATCATTTAGAACAACTGCTGGTAAGATTCCTTCATGTTCAAATGAGTTAATATTTTTCATTAAGTGTCATTTGCTCTATAAATACCAGAGAAAGGCAGGCAAAGAATGAAAGATTCAGGCTTTTGAAATGTGCACATTTTTCTAAAGTGTGCAGCTCTCAAATACAGTAGTAGAGGCCAGTTGTTCTTCTGCAGATATAAGGCCTTGTGTATGCATTCAGACAATTATTTAAAAATTATCCTTTTGACTGACCATGCAGTTCATCATGTGCATGACAACCAAGCCGTTAATAATAGTTTTCTATTCTCAAACAATGTAAAAGTTGGAGAGTTCAGAGAGCTAAGATATAATTGAATATAGCCCTGTGTTTATTAGGGTAAAGTCAATTATTTGTCAAAGGAATGTCACATTTAACAAGAGAGTATAGAAACCCTGTGGGACCAGCTTCTGGGGTACAAGAAAAGTAGTCCAGTATGTACTTGTAGAGATAGCTTCACTTACAGTAATTATTATCCACACAATTTTTGGCAATTGATTGATTATATGCCATCAAGTCAGTGTCAACTCTTAGTAACCACATAGATTTTCTCCATGATGATCTGTCCCTAACCTATCCTTTCAGCTCTTCCAACAGTGCACCCTTTGCCACTGTAACCGAGTCTATCTACCTTGCTGCTGCCGGTCATCATCTTCTCTTTCCTTCCACCTTTCCCAGCACTAGACCCTTCTCCAGAGAGCTAGGTCTTTGCATAATGTGTCCAAAGTAGGATATAAAAATGGCAAACTGTATTTTTATTACAATGCCGGGTCAATAAACCAAGAAAGTTTAGCCATAAAACCTATTGCCTTTACCAGTCCTTTGTCTACAGATACTCTAAATATCACATTTCCTGATTTTGTAAGTTCAACCTGCAATTTTGTTCATGTCTGCTGGCTAATTGGCTTCATGCTGTGGGACTTCACTTCAAAGCAAAAAGTCATGCAGGTGTTGATTTTCTGCATCTGTTGGCATATTGTAGTTTTCCCAAGGCCCTTTTCTTCTGCGTTTTAGTTTTGTAAGGATTCTAATTTGTCTGCCTGTAGCTTGAACTACTTCATCTGCTCAAAATTTTATTTAGGGTTGCTTTTTAGTTGTTCTCTTTTGTTTAACATTTTCTCCTTTGTCTTCAAGCTTCACATGGCCAGATTGTTCAGTTCAAGCTCTCTGATATTGGAGAAGGAATCACAGAAGTGACAGTGAAAGAGTGGTAAGTTTAAATTGTGAATTTCCATGGAGCAGTTCCCTAACCAAAAAAGTTTGCTTTTTGAAAAGTCAGAGTAGGGAAGAAAAAAAAGAATCTTTGAATTCTAAGGAGGCCATAGAGCAGTGTTTCTCAACCTTAGCAACTTTAAGATGTGTGGACTTCAACTCCCAGAATTCCCCAGCCAGCATGCTATGGAGGTAATCTTCTGTTATTAGCCATCATTATTTTCCATTTGATGCAATTTAGGCATTGAGAACTGGACCTGATTTTTCTGACAGCAACTGACTCAAGGGCTGTTATATGAAGAAGTTTCCTCATATTTCTATGATAGTTTATTTCAATGCCTCAGCACTCTCTGTTGAATTTATTTTGTTTATAAAATGCTTTCTCTTTTGTTTATTATTAAAAACAATCCCAAAACAGGTTTGCTTAAGATTCTGGGCAACTGAATAAGAACACTTTTTAATATATTTGGGCTTAATATGTCTGGAATGCTTTAATTAATCTATATCTGTGGAAGAGAGTGTTGAAACATGATTGCAGTCAGTTTACTCAAACTAAAGAAGGATGGTGGATACTATGCAACTACTTCCTTGTTCAAAGCTTTCGAGCCTACTGGTCACATACTAGGTTGTTAAAAAGTCCAGCTTTCAAGAACTGCTTTGCAGGTCTAGAGTGACAGCATTTTCCATGTTTCTATTTGCTTTTGAACACACACACCCTCTTACTCAAGCTGAACATTACATAGGTTAATAATAACGCTGCCCTCAAGTTGAGCTTGACTTCTGGGCACTATGTTAACACATCCACGCAGTTTTCTTGGCAACCATAAGGAAGTGGTTAGTTGTTGCCTTCTTCTGGGGTACTATTCTAGCCTGGAGCCAGGCACTTCCCTTGTAATCTCCCATCCAAGTACTAACCAGCTCTGATCCTGCTTACCTGCCAGAGCAGGTTGGCCACCGGCTGAGATCTTATGAAAGCTGTTTCTGGAGATCAGCTTTACCCTTGTGTATCTTATGCTATTTTTTTTCCTTTCTTTCAGGTATGTAAAAGAAGGTGATGTTGTGTCGCAGTTTGATAGCATCTGTGAAGTACAAAGTGATAAAGCCTCAGTCACAATCACCAGCCGTTATGATGGCATCATTAGAAAACTCCATTATGGGTTAGATGAAATTGCCCGTGTGGGGAAACCCCTGGTGGATATAGAAACAGCTACTTTGAAAAGTAATGTTCGTTTCTTTTCATCACTGAATCAGGATGTCAACAGTACTGAATATTGATTTGTGGTTATTTGGTTCCTATATTCACCATGTACTTTAAGCCATGTGTTTGTGTGAAGCTATGAATGCCCATGTATAAAAGATAAAAGTCCTCAAAGCAGGCCCTAGAGACGGAAGAGTTTCTTCTGGAAGATTTCAGTTTATGCACCTTCTGGAAATATACCAGAATGATGCCTGCTAAGAAGCCGCAACAACAGACGGCTCTGAAGACATGAAGTGGCTATCAGAACAGAAGATGGTTCTTGTGAAGTAGATGAGGTGATGGTACTCAGGTGGAAGAGTACTAGCGGGGAGTGGTTGATCCTTGTCAGAAATGATAAAAATGGTATTGTTGTCCTGCAGAACCATCATATAGAATGAGAATAGCAGATCTTCATACGATTATGATCAAATGTGATGGGCTTCCTTTTTCTTAATATAGCTAAGTCTTTTCCCTCTTTCCTTTCTCCTTTTCTAGGGAGAACGCCAAAGGCTGGAAGCTCCTGCTTTCTTTTTCAAACATTTTAACATTTTAATTTAATGTGGCCTGTTGCAACCATAGTTAGCTTGTGAGGATATGCTAAACTTATGGGAAAGTGATTAATTTTCTTATTGTGGTTTAAAGCAAGTACGGGCAGACCTGTAAGGTCTTTGTTCTTTCACTAGGCTCTTGTGAGCCACCAAATGGAATGAGGTCCAAGCTTTCAGTCAGTGATGAAGCCAGGTACTGAAATGCGTAAATAATGTGTTTAAAAGACATATATAGACATACAAAACAATATTTTAGTTACTACATATTAGAGTTTCCACTAGCCTCATTTAGAATGTAGGTTCCTTTTGTTGCTCTTTTTAATAAAATAAAGGATGTTGTCATATACCCATTCTGATCCACAGACCATCTGTTGAGCTGTTCTGTTCCCAATTTATTCTCAACTCATCCCTGGCTTAAACTAATCAAATTTTCCCAAGTTCACGTATTATGGGAAATGGATTGTTTAAAATAGGAAGAAAGCTTCTTCCTGTTGCATGGAAACCTGATTCAGATCATAAACTGCTTTTCAATGTCATGGGAGAAATAGAAGGAGAAATTATCCTTTGGACTTAGGACTGCAAAACTTTTGAACCGTTATTATTTACCTGTACTTAGTTTCTTGGAGAAGCTAAGGGCTGATTTAAAAAATTGTTTTAAGACACATTTAATTATATAACCCACTCAAGATATTTCACATATTGAAGAGCTAATATAATAGTAATTATATTACTATTGGTCACCTCCCTGTGATGCTGCTCCAACCTAACACAGTAACAAATCACATTCCCATATACTGTAAATAGTTTGTTTCAACTTATATTTGAGAACCAGATGCTAACTTGCTTTACTCAACGTAATCCATGTTCTTTATTTTGGGTCCAATCTGCAGCTGTAACTCCTGAAGAAGATGTGGTTGAAACACCTGCTGTGTCACGTGAAGAGCAGATCCACCAGCAGATCAAAGGCCATAAGACCTTAGTAACCCCTGCTGTTCGCCGCCTTGCTATGGAAAACAATGTATGTTTTTACATATTAAAAAAAGGTTTCTTGCTGTTGATGTGTCATACGTGTTGTAAACATGTAGCATGTGCCCAAGTGCTTACATGCCAAAATCATCACTAATCAGAGAAGCTAATTATAAACTTTAGGATTTGGCAACTACTTTATAATGGAAAGAGATATGTTATGCTCCATAAGCGGTCCAATAATATGCTTGCCTCCTTGAAAGGCCTAGTCCAGTGTTTCTCAACCTTGGCAACTTTAAGATGTGTGAATGTCAACTCCCAGAATTCCCCAGCCAGCATGCTGGCTGGGAAATTCTGGCAGTTGAAGTCCACACATTTTAAAGTGGCTAACGTTGAGAAACACTGGACTAGTCTATTTATGTAATAATGGTTATATATTCAGTGTTGTGAACTAGGTATGGAGTAAGATCCATTCACCACACAGAATATGGTATCAGATATTGAGGAAAAGTTGCTGAGCATTAATGTGGGTGAATAATTTCCAAAACGTCTGCTCCCAAAAGGGAAGTTTGGAAAGAGCCCTTGATCACTCTGTGCCTCTTACGTGGCTTAAAGAGAGTTGAACACTTTGAAGCTTTGAACTTCCTGGGAGAATATTGCAGCTTCAATGACATATTGGCAGTATAATATACTTTAAACACTGGAGTCAGCCTATGAATGGCCATGTGATAAATGTTTTGCATTTAAAGGGTTTTCTGGGTCTTGTTTGTCCAGGGAGTACAGCGGAGTCTTGTGGTATATATAGGAAAGTAAATGTATTATTGCAGAAAACTTTGTGAATCACAGTGCAGTTCAGCAGATGCATAAAGCATAATATGTTGGTGAAAGCAAAGAGAAAGGAAAAGATAGTGGGATGGAAAGAGAATCGCTCTGACACATTAGATGAGCTGTGCCTGAAAAATGGAAGCAGCTTCCATCCTCCGTGGTGTCTGCACTCATCCTAGAAATGCCTGTGGCATCAAAACAGAGTCATTTGCAAATATAAAGAGCATTTCTAGGCAGCAGTTTCATAATGCAACCATCCCCTTCATCTTTGGAATCTGAAAGAAAGGGTCTACATACTGTCATCTTCCACTTGTAACTCTCCCCATATTTCCTTACTACTGCTTCAGTCTTATTACAGAAAATCTGCTAAGGAGGGAAAGATGGAATAGCACATCAAAGACTTATCTCAGATAGCATAGGAGCTCTTTTGTCTGCAGGGTTTGTCAGCAAATCAGCTTCAAAATCTAACACGAATTATATGTGGATCGTTTTACAGTAGGTTTTTACATGGGCTTGAAGAAATGCTTATGAACAAATAAGCGATATAGGAATTTAATAACTTAGTGTAATTGCATACAAATTTACAACGAATTTGGGAAAGGGTGGATGCATCTCAGTCCATTATTTCAAGTACCAGATGCTTCCAGAACTTGGCCCACTATGGACAATTTGTTAACTGAAATCAAACATTGACATGGATTCTTCAGGTGAATTACAGGTCTGCCATTTCCTTCCTTCCTTCCTTAGTTTGCAAGAAGTATGAGTTCTCTTGCTTGTGGTCAATTTCTGGAGTTCACATAAGTTTTCATGGATCTGAGGAAATGCACTGTAATCTACAAAAGCTCAGTTGATAAAACTGGTTAGTAGTTCAACTTACATGGCTGCATCTCTCTCAATTGTTGGTGGTTCTGTGTCTTTTAGATTAAGCTGAGTGAAGTTGTCGGAACAGGGAAAGATAACCGTATTCTCAAAGAAGACATTCTTAACTACTTAGCCAAGCAGACTGGAGCAATTTTACCTCTGTCACCAAAACCTGACATCATCACACCTTCATCAAAACCAGAACTTACTGTAGACATGTCAAAAGAGAAGGCCGCAGGAACTCTAACACCTCTTTCTAAACCCGTAATTTCAAGGAAAGATACAACAGTGGCCTTATCTGGTAAAAAGAAAAAAAGTTATTTTAATAACATGCATGAAGCACTTATAAATAACTACTACAAAATGCAGTTATTATATTTATCTTGTGATCTTAGAAGGGTACTGTGGGTCATTCCACACCTGTCTTTTTATGTTCGGGTATTATTTTCAGAATTGTGGTAGAGCCACTAAAATAGACGTTTGTATCCTCTCTAGTTGTTGGTATTTATTGGATGAGTCAGTATTATTTTCAGAAATGTGGTGAAACTTCACTGAATAAACACCAACACCTGGAGAGAATCCAAACAATTTTTATTGGTTCCAAAGCTAGCAGGTTACAGTAGGTCGTTGGTCTCTTGCACCCAAATGAGCCAAGAACAAGAACTACAGACTAGCATAGGTCTTATGTGGAATGTTGATCAAGGGCGGTTTGAACATATGTTAACAGGACACCCCAAGTGAAAGAATTGCTTTACAACTGATAAGCAAATAAGGTAACTACAAAGGTAGACATGGACATCCTTCATGGTGTGGAAACGTTGTCGAAGCAGTCCTTGAAAGGCATCATAGACTTGCGCCAAGGTTCTAATGATTGTTCCAAGAGAGAAATAAGAAAGTGCAGTAGTGTGCATCCTTGAATCCACTTCCTCCTCTCAGAGTGTAAACTATAAAATCAATTATAAACTTACAGGCACAAACTGGCACAGCAAAGAGGTCTCCATTCTTAAAAGGTGCTGTGTGAGAAATATACAAATAGTCATATATGAGATACTATAGGGGTCAAAGTAAGCATATGATTACATAATTTCTTCAACCTGAGTTCACATTCCACATCTCCATAGAAGAATTATGGAAATGCTGATTTGGGAATGAGGTTTTTACATATGCAACCAATGCAGATTTAGATTGTAGTGCTCATCAAGGCTCCTGTGGAAAGAAACTGAGTTTTCAATGCATGTGAGGTTGTGTATTCACTATGCACAGCCGCTAGTTCAGTCTAATAGAACAAATCTGGATCGTGATTAATGTACAAATGGCAATGCAGATTAGTGTTTTGGAAAAATAAGTGCAGAACCTGATAGAGTATTATAGCTTCTAAAGACTGGTAGCCTGCCCCATGTTTTCTGTCTCTGATTTTCTTTCAGAATTAGCTGAATTAATTTCCTGATTCCTAGAAAATTAATATGGACAGCTTCTGGGGATCCTTGGACTGTAGTTATGAGATCTAGATGTTCCATGTTCTAATTTTGCTAGAGAACAACCTTCTGTTGCAATTTAAGACTCGGTGTGTATTACTCACTTCAACTGGCTTTCCTACATAACTCACTGGAAGTGTTGAGGACACTTCCTTCACACTTTGAAGGGCCCCACTATAATTTCAGGCTGTGAAAGCTGTCATACAGGGTTCTGAAAAGTATAAAATGTGGTGTCACACAGGGTTCCTAAAAATCTCCCACCAAATCCTGATTACTCTCCATAGCTATTGGATGCCCCCATTGAATGCAGTGGATAAAACCATCCTTAGCCAAGTCGATTCTACATCATTCTTCTTTAGGTAACTAACTTTTCCTTAATCATACAGCTTTTCCCCAGAGTTTCTTGTACATCTGACTGTATTATTATAATATATATAGCTCCTCTAATCAGTCGGTTTGCTGTCTAAAGGAAACTTTTGAAGAAACAAGATAATTTAGAGTATCACTAACTGTAAATGGTTTCCCTTCTCTGTTTTTTAGGATTTCAGAAGGCAATGGTGAAAACTATGACTGCTGCTTTGAAAATTCCTCACTTTGGTTATTGTGATGAGGTTGACCTCACGCAGCTCATCCAGCTGAGAGAAAAGTTGAAACCTTTAGCACAAGAACGGGGAGTTAACCTCACTTTCATGCCCTTCTTTTTAAAGGTGAGTTATGATGGTGAACCTTGCTTTTTCTAGCCCAGTAGTCATATTTTGTGGCATAGGATGATCAGATTTGGCAGGAAACACTGTAGTCTCTTGATTATTCATGATGATGACTGAACCTGACAAACATGAATTAGATGAACATCTGAAGATACAAAGGTTCTCCTATCTGTGTTATAGTGGAAACAGCCTTGGAAAAAAGTTCTATCAAATTGCCAAATCTGCCTGTATTCTGGATTACTGGTGTGATGCGTGATGCGATGCCTGTTCTTCATAGGCATTTCAAATATATTGTTTCACTACAGAATGATATTAAAATGTAATTGTAGTGACCATATTCACACCATCCATTTTGCCTTGATTGTGAGTACTATGTTAGAATACTTTTAAGAACAACTTCGTAGTCCTAGAGAGGTTTTCCTTGAAAGCTCACTTTATTTCAGTGGAGCCCACCCCACAAAGCTAGAATGATCTAGTTATCACAACTTTTTGCAGATTTCTGGAACTATACTATGAAGGACAGAAAGCATGAAATGTGAAAAAGGAGGGATCACCCTAACTTCTTTGAAATGTTTGTTTTATGGGATGGGACAGTAGATAGGGTATGAGATCCATCAAATCTTCATGAGCTTTCAGCTTTACAGAATAATTAGGAATCCCAGCAGAAAAATACATGGGTTATGGCCCTTTTGGCTCTTGGCTTCATATGAGCTAGCCCAATAACCACAACATTAAACATAAACTAAGCAACATTACGGAGAGCCGGTTTGATATAGTGATTAAAAGTATTGGATTAGAAAATGGGCAACTGTGAGTTCTAGTTCTATGTTAGGTGTAAAGCCAGCTAAGTGATTTTCTGCCAGTTGCTCTCTGTTAGCCTTAAGAAGAAGGCAATGGCAAATCATTCTGGAAAAAGTTGCCAAGAAAACTACATGGACTTGTATGTGTAGTCACCAGGAGTCAAGAGTGACTCAAAGATACAATCACCCCCAAGTTACTAGTTCAAAGGGACGAAAAAAACCCTGTTTGCTCTAAGCCAGCAGAGATGTTTAAGAGAGTTTGTACCCCTTGCAGCATTTCCACAGTAGGCCCATCTGGAGAATGCCTCTCTCCTAATACAAGATAATCAAGGAGATAATGTAATACCCCCTCTTTTCTCTTTTTGTTTTCTTTCTCTCTCATACACACGCACACTTAAAAATTGTTTAAATTATATTATAGTGTGTTCTTTTTATATGTTTAACAGGCTGCTTCTCTAGGCTTATTACATTACCCCATTCTTAATGCTTCAGTGGATGAAAACTGCCAAAACATCACATACAAGGTTTGTATATGATTTTAAAAATGGTTTCTTAATACGTCCTCAACTGGTCCAGCTTTGTTTAATTTTGAATAAAGGTACATTTGAATGTGTACTGCGGATAGGAAGTAAACATTGAAAGGTTTCAGTCCCCCCCCCCCCGCAGCATAATATCTAGCAGTGTGTTTCTCTCTGTATTTTAACATTTACCAAAAGCTTATCTTTCCTGCAGGATGCTCAGAAAGACACATGGCACTGTATGGATTCCAGAACCCTCTGAGAACAGTTGGCTGCTTTAATTTTGTGGTGATCCACCACTTGATTGTTCTGGCCCCACTCCCTTTTAGGAATTTAGCCCCCGGGTGCCATTTGAAAGTCCCTTGGAGCCTCAAAGAAACGATCAGTCTTATGGAAATATGACCTCTGTGTATTGTGCTTGTTATACAGTAATAACTTTCAGTGTAATTAGTAGGATGTGCAGCAGTCTGAAGGGAAAAAGCTAATTTGGAGCCCTTGTGGGCATATACGTAACATCTGGTGGCACCTCTTTAAATCAGAGGCATCTTTCTGTGGGTTCACGTTGCAAATGCAGAGGGCAGCAGTGTTATCTTGAGAAAAATCACAGCTTCTTGATGGAGTTGCTGATAGGTGCTGTGTGAACACCCCAACACTTTCCAAATCATCTTTTCCTTCAAATCTGGACTGCTGTATGGTCCTACTAAAATACAACATGTATTTTTACCATTTGAATATTACTTGTTCTTCATTTCATTGCAATGTTATATTAAATTTTATGTTTTATTATAAATACAGGTTTTATATTTTATTATCAATATATTATAGGTAGATATATAGGTATCATGTTTTCAGTTTTGCACCCGTAAAGATGTTTTATCTTCTATAATAAATATTGTAAGGAAAACCGTTTGTAGTAGGTGGGAGCATCTAACTGTTCTTGGCTGATCTTGAAAAATACTAAGCAGTGGTAGACCTGAGGAGTAGTTGGATGGGAGACAGTTGGAAAAGGCCAAGACAGAATATAGGTTAGACTGGAGAGCTGGGAAAACTTCCTGGCCGAAGGCAACATCGCACTATTGTTGCCAAGAAAACTACATTGATGTCCTCAGGTAGTAACTAGGAGCTGAACCTGATCAAGAAAGGCTTTATCAGTGAAGGAGCACAAGTATATGAGAAATCATTCTATTGATAAAAAAATAAGATTGTTTTATAATCTACAAAAGAATAATTGAAGAGTAATTAAAATGTGAAATACTTTATTTTGCCAAGAATGAAGATAGCTATTTCTATACAAATTAACACAATGCATTTCTATGTATTCTAGGCTTCTCACAATATTGGAATTGCCATGGACACGGAACAAGGCTTGCTTGTCCCTAATGTGAAAAATGTCCAAGCCTGTAGTGTGTTTGAGGTCGCTTCAGAATTAAATCGCCTACAAAAGTTGGGCTCAGCTAACCAGTTGGGAACAAATGACCTCACAGGGGGAACATTCACACTTTCCAACATTGGCACAGTAAGTTAAACAGCATGTAAAATTAAGCTATTAAACTGTTGGGAATATCATGGGGGCATAAACTGGATCCCTGTGGCAAATGAGGGAGAATTGAAGTAATTTAGGAGGATCAAATGATAACATAGTTGCTTCTATGAGAAGGTATCTACTGGGCTTGCTTTAATGGCTGGGGTTATAGGATGGGTTCATGGACAGGAAGTGAATTCTTTGCTAATGCTTATTGTATCCCAAGGGCACTGTCAATTGTTTCCCCAGTTATACTTAAATACACTTTTCTAATATTGTGCTCCCCAGCTCTTGCACTTTCCACTTAGAATGGACATTCCATATTGGCTAGAACTTCTCGGTATTATAACCCCAACATGTCTGAAATGTTCCAGATTGGAGAAAGCTGCTTTAAAACTTGCCTAAAAGAGACATCATTAAAAATGTACTGATTAAATGTGTTACTTTCCTTTTTGTTTCTTAGATTGGTGGCACTTATGCAAAACCAGTGATCCTACCTCCTGAAGTAGCTATTGGTGCTCTTGGAAAAATACAGGTATTTTCACTTTGAATTATGAAAGATCAGTTTGAAGTTCTACCTAATAAATGTTTGTGTTGGTTTTCTAACTTTGTTATAGTCTTATATAGTCTATATGTTAAATCATGTTTGTTAATTCTTCACTTGTACCTCAAAGTTCTTGTTTGCTATAGATGACTCGGCAAGTGGTTATTAACAACAGAATAGCTTTCTCTCTTGATGTCTTACATTTTGAGTCTTGTCCTAGGGAAAAGCCAACTGAATGTCTTCTCCATAATAAACATTTGAACCTTAGCCCCTCCCATCAAAATAGAATGACTTACATTCCTAATTTGAATACTGAAATTTTTATTAAATGTGTAATGTGTGGGGATGGCAAACCCTATAAATATTACTCATATTAGTATAAAATATTTTTAATGCAAAAGCAGGTAATATCCTGGACATTTAACAACCTGGTGGATCATCATTAATAGTCACTTTTAATTGGCCAAATCTGGAATTATTTTCACATACGTTGCACTGTAAGACTCCAGATTATGTTATCAAGATGACTTGTAAATGTAGTTGCTGTTATGCTTGTTCATTTGCTTTGAAATCTTGAGTAAATACCTTGTAACCATCTTATCAGTGAGGGCGCTCAGGTGTTGGGAAATTCTCATGTATTAATCCACTGGGTTTTTTTACAGCATTTTGTTCTTTAATTTCTAGATCCTTCCTCGATTTAACAGTAAAGGTGAGGTGTTTAAAGCACAAATAATGAATGTGAGCTGGTCAGCTGATCACAGAATCATTGATGGTGCAACCATGTCTCGTTTTTCTAACGTGTGGAAATCCTACTTGGAGAATCCTGCTTCCATGCTGATGGATCTTAAGTAAAGAAGACAAACAGCTGGATGACTTATTTTAATTCCGAAACTGCAATCAGGCTAGTTAAGCTAGCAAGTGCCATTAAAATTAACTTCGTACTTCAGAACTGCATTGTGTTTGCTAGATCTTTCAGATCCCTGCTCTGTATCTTGATTATCTGTTACATTTTTGTCTAGCTGAATTGCTTAGCGGTAAATTGTTTGGCTATAAGCTATAATAGGTCATTGACAAGGTGGCAGAAACTTATAGTGACAAAACGTGCTATATTCCACTGTTAGGGTATTATCAAATGGAGGCTGCTAACAATATTTGTGGGATTCTTATTTGAAACTGCTTGCACTGTTCACAAAATAAATTACAACCTGATTAGAAATGAGAGTACCTGGATGAGACACTAACGGAGTGTTAGCTATTTCTTATGCAATTAATGCACTACAGATAATGTTCAAATAAAATGCTTTTAATGCTTATTTTATTAAAGATACAGGGACTCCCTTTTTTGGCATATGGTGCTAACTGTTCTCTTTTTAAAATATCTTTTCTGCCTTACATTTTGTAGCAGATGTTCTTCATTACTGAAATGAATGTGTATACACTATGTGAATGACAGGCCCTGCACCATAGATGTGTGTTTTTCAAATTTGGGGGTGGCTTTTACAGCGTACAGGTAACACTAGGCATACACAAGATCTAGGTATACACAGGTGTGCATTAAGCATTTCTGCAATGTATGAAGCTACTCTCAGTTAATATGAAGATCTTTGAAATATCTAATAGCAGTTTGTAAACCAGTGTTTTTCAAACTTGGCAACTTGAAGATGTGTGGACTTCAACTCCCAGAATTCCCCAGCTAGCATGCTGGCTGGGGGATTCCGAGAGTTTAAGTCCACACATCTTCAAGTTGCCAAGTTTGAAAAACACTGTTGTAAACCCATCACTCTCCTAGACAAAGTTTTGCTGTGGAGCCATAAATGAATAGTTTTTCAGCTATAAAACAGATGCTTTGAAGAATGTACAATATTTCTGAAGGATATCAAGAGACTATTTAGATTTGGACAACTCCTAGCACCGAGTCCTGCAATGTGATTGACAAGTCTTCCATATGCAACGTATGGATTTACTAAGAAATAATTTGCACAGTGTTTTATATTGTCCCTATGACTATTGGACTAATGTAATTTGGAAGTAATTGCAGAAAATAGCTAGCATTGATTCCTGTGGTCAAGGTGGTACTTCTTCAGTAAGCACAGTAATGAAAATGGTTTAGCCAGTTCATGTGCTATATACATTTGAATTAGTAAGTGAGGGTAAATAGAGCAAAAAAGAAAACTATGAGATGGAACAAAAGCATACAGTACAGTGCATTACATTCAATAGCAGGGAGGTGTTATGCATTAAAGTTGGTGTGTCTCAACCTTGGCAGCTTTAAGATGTGTGGACTCCAACTTCCAGAATTCCCCAGCCAGATCAGAATCAGAAGTTGCTGGGGAGATGAAGTCCACACATCTTAAAGCTGCCAAGGTTGAGAAACACTGATTTCAGTAAACACTTTGTTTCACTCAGAAATTCCGTGATATCCAATGGGTTCAGCCTGTCTTAGTTTTCAATAGCCCCATTTGGATTTACCCTCCTTTATTTTTCTGTCAGCTCATGTGCAGATAAGTTTTATACAGTATACAGACTGACCTCAGCTATGAGAAGGAAGGGAACCAGTTTCAGATAGATAATTAAGATGCAAATGCACAACTGTGGAATAGGGTTAAAATCTGTACAGTCTAAAAGTGGGTATGATTATTAGAGGCCATAAATGAAAGAAATGACCACATGCTTCTAACAAAATATTAAAAGTTTCAAAATGGAAGTTTATGGAGAGCGTCAGTTTAAGGAAACCTATTGTAAGTGTGTAAATATATACATATATATGTTTATTTAAAGTCCTTGTAATATATAATCTGTGAAAAGGGAAAATATCTAGATCTGGGCTTTTCTGTATTCATTATTTTGAGGAACAAACAGAAGAAATGTAAAACTAATACTCAAATCTCCTGTAGATCCCTAAGGAATTTTATATAACACATAACACACATAAATTTAATATTTCTTTGTTGTTTTTTATTTAATACATATTTTAATAAATCCCACTTTTTTTACAACCTTTGTAGCTTTATCTGGGGTGCTGTTATGTGACTATAAATTCTCTAAATCAGGTTTCTCCAAAGTGGCCAATATTGACCCCAAAGATCAATGGGACTATCCAAGGAGTCAATGTTGTTGTTATTTGTAGTACTATTAGTTAAAGTAGTATTTATTAAATTATTTTCATATAATAAATGTTAGGGGCTCAATGAACAATCTGAAACTTCATGAAGGGGTCAATGAGCTGAAGCATGTGGGGACCCCATTCTGAATTCACAAATCCATGTAAGAGCTACAGTCTCCCTCATTATTCTCCTCATGAGAAAGCATCATTGGCAAAACATCGTTAATCCTCAGTTTCAGTCTTCCTTTGAACTGCAGGCTCCTATAAAACAAGCAGCTGTGTGGGGTATGTGGAATCTTTGGAAGTTATAAAAATCATTCTTTCACAAATCAGAGCTTAACCAACATCTCAGCAATGGGTTCTTAGTGCAGTGGGCTATAGGCCATCTCTTCCATGGCCTGGATTAGGATCATTTTAGTGATTCTTATCAACTGCAATACATGGTTTGGGCTGAGGGAAAATTTCAGATAAAGCATTAAATAATGTTTTTGGTGGTGGTTGAAGCTTTTCCAGCTGGTTGTGGTCCTTTGCCAGGATTGTCAATAACTGTTTCTTTGATTTGTAAGCTCATGGCTTGTGTCATTAGTAATGGTACTGAGCCACCTTGTGTCCTTTTGGCCTCTTCCATGTGTCTTCGGTTTCTCCACCATCAGAGCCTTTTCCAGTGATTTGTTCCTTCACGTGTCCAAAATATCTAAACTGTAGTTTCATTGTTAGTGCTTCCAATGACCAGTCTGTTTCACTTCATCCAGTTTTCAGTTATTTGTTCTTCTTGTAGACCAAGGCCTTCTCTGCAGTTTTCTCCAGCATCTGAAGAAAACTTCTGAGAATGCCCTGATCGGCAAGAAGGCTTCAATTTTGCTTCATTCAGCCGTTCTGATGGTCCAGATTTCACAATCCTTGGTTACAACAGGGAAAACCACGGCCTTGACTTTAACAACCTCTGTCATTAGTATGATGTCTTTACTCTTTAATATTTTGTCTAGATCTGTCATAGTTTTTCCTCCAAGCAGCAGACATCTCTTTATTGTATGGCTGCAATCACTATCCTTGTGAACATTTGTTATTACTTGAACTCCATTCCTAGTTGTTTCTGGTTAAGCTATGTATTTATTTTTTTAAAGTCTATCCCCCTGTACCCAAAATAGCTTTCCTATATCAAACTCCTCGTTGGTACTTAAAACCAAGTATTATAATGTATAATACAGTACTTGTTTTTTAAAATATGAATTGTCTAGATCAGTTGGTTTTTCTTGCTCTCTGTGATTATAAGCTCAGAAAAGCAGAAAGTTTCCAAATGGGCAAATATTTTAGAGGACCGTTGCACTTGACCATGACTACTTGTACTCTTTCCAGCCAATGTCATGGGTTAAAATTAGAATCTGGCTGCTGTGATATTTTGCTCTGTCATAATTGGCACGAAGGGTTTAAATGGCTTAAGCAAAACAATCAAGATTCATGACAGATCTCTCACTGCACAGAAACCTCTGGGCCATGGAAAATCATCTGTGGCTTCAAGTAAGTGGTTGATAAAATTTTCAGCTAACACCTGGAGGGGAGTGAATTGGCAAGGAGTTTGTTGTTGCTTTGCAGCTAAAATTGGGAGCGTGCTTTTGAAATGGCTGGTGGTTCATGATTGCCATTTTGTTGCACAGTTGTCAGACAGGCTTTGTCTAAAAGCAGGTGCCAGAGAACAGAAATCTGCTTGCAAGACTCCAAGAATAGGCTCTGTGTTAATGGTGAATTAATGGTTTGTCCTTCTTATAGATGTTTCTCCTGGATGTCAATTAAAAATCCAGAAATTGAAGGCATTTTTCAATCTAACGTGGGTTTCCTGTTTTGCTCATGACATTCCTGAATACTGTGCCGAAAAATGAAAGTAGCTGCTGAGTTTGAATGCAGAAGAGCTATGACTGAAACAACTGTTTCTGTTGGCTCATTTATGGCTATTAAAGCCCTGTGGGAAGTCAGAATCCAGAAAATCACTGAACAGCTTCGGAAGGAAAAAGAGTTCAGTCAGAAGGCTGCAGGGAGGTAGGTACTTACTCAGAATTAGGGATCCCTTAGATAAGAATGATGATTTCCAAACTTTATGGGCAGCACATTGGAGCAAATATTCTCTGGGAAACCTAAACTATGCAAGAAGCAAAAGAAGGTGATGCTGGAAATTCTATCGCAGTTGTATTTCAATTGGGATCTCCCTGGGATTTTGCAGAGTTCTCCAAAACAGTGAAAAATAGCAAATGGAGAAGCAGCAGAGGTTTTTTTTTTTTTTAAATGATCAAAAATACTGCTGCTCTGCTCTCCAAGTTGCAGTAGTACTGTAGTATATTCCAGAATTCTCCTTTATGAAAAGTCCCCTTTATGACCAAGTCAGCCTCAAGATGATATGCAACTGGGTAGTAAATGTAATAGAGTATGACGATTTAGGAGCTTTTAATTTCTGATAAACAGTGATACTAAGCGCTTCTGTGTTTGATTGCATCAGCTCTGCTGCCTGATCTATTCCAGACTCAATTCTGGATCCAGATGTTTGAAAGCGTGTTGGAAATCGTAGTGCAGCAATAAGGAAAAGATATCTTTAAAGCTTTACAACTTTTTTTTCTAGACTGACAATTGTTTGGGAAGAGAGGGCCAGTTTGGCCAAGCTGAAAGGCAAAGTAATCACCGAAGATGGAAGGGCTATTTTAAGGATTGAAGAGGAGGAATGGAAGGTATTCATGCAAGACTGCTAAGAAATGATTTTACATTCTTTGCTTCGATATTTTGTTTTATCAATTTAATGTTCATCTGCTCCCCACTTCCAGGATAACTGCAAGAACCATTTATTTTGGACATGAGCCCTTGGAGACATGTTAAAGGAAGGCTAATTCCTTTTGCTAATTACAGCTAGGTTACAATTAATGCGACTTCAAATAATGCAATATTCTAATGCGAATTGTAAATGGATACCAGGTTGCATTTAATGCGACCCAAAATTCGGTTCATGCGAGGCTTGAGCGTACACAGATGTGGTTGGAGTTTTACACGCTGCTAATCTTTGTACAGCATATGCAAAATAGAGAAAAGAAATATTCCATCAGAGGAAAACAGTACAAGCTCAAAAAAGAAGAGGCTTGTTAGAGCAAAAATTTCATGTAATTAAACAACATGAACATGGTCATGGCAGCACTAAAATAGGACGTGATGTTGGAATGCCTGAATCTGTGGTGCAGATTATTATAAAACGTACAGGGGAAATGACAGAAAAAGACAAAGTTGCAGCAGCTTTTTGTGATTTGCAAACACGTACGAGGAGATGGAGAGAGAATGGAGATGTTTTCATCAGTGTAAGCTTACCTTTAGGAATGACATTTAGAAGTTTTTCGTTTTGTTTTGCTTTCTATAACTACTCTGTGACTTTGTTAACAATAAATTTATATTATAAGCATATTCTTTTTATTCTTTACTATAATATTTCATTAATATACATATAAAATTTTATGCTTGAAATTTTTCATTGCCTATTTCTTCAAATTGGAACCAATTACCATATTTTCCATAGAAAAATAACTTCAAATAGAGCAAATTCAAATAATGCGGCCATTTCATGGAATTCATGAACCGCGCTAATGAAGACCTAGCTGTATTGATTATGGATTGGATTTCGGCAGTGGTTTTAAAGTGCTAAATTGATATAAGATCACCTTTATATCCAATACTAATCCAGTGTTACCTTGAAAATTCACATGCACCTTATAAGTTTCTTTTCTGTTCCTTTACTTTTTACCTCCCTTTTTTTCTTGGTTGTGTTTTTAAATATCTGTTTAAAAATGGTCTGGGCTGCAGATAACCAGATAATAAAGATATATGGCAGCAACGTATTAGAGTTTTCTTTATAAGTGGCTATCTGTATTTTTGCAGCCCAGATTAGGTACACTGTGCTTTGTGTCATTCTCTAGTTCCTACAAACTAATTTACTGCAGCCTTTAATGGAATATCATTGATCTGATGTACTTAGTGACTCTACCCCTTTTTGTTTCCTCTCATATAAATGTAGACTCTACCTTCTTGCTTACTGAAACTGAATTACCTGCAGGAATGGCAGCTTCACAGAACTAATTTGATCAAAATCCCTCACTACATCGGTCGCTTTCAAAATCTCATTGTCCTAGATCTATCTCGAAATTCCATTGCAGAGATTCCTAGGGAGATTGGTGAGTCTCAAGTTAACATTTCTCCTTGTGATTGCTTCTTCAGGTTGGGTTCTGAATTAGGAAGTCTTACAGAGCTTAGTTTTAGAAAAATATATTTTGGGAACATTTTGAAAAATTCCTTCTTGATGAACAGCATACACTTGAAACAAATTGAGAGCCCTATTCTTTGAATGAGTTACATTTTTTACTTATTGGTTTTCTTCATTTCTTTAGTTCTTTCAAAACATATATTGTGCTTTATAGCCTCAAGGGATGTTTTCACTATATTCCAGAAGATGCTTATAAAATTGATGCAATATCAGTAGTAATAAGAAAAACAGTGAGCCTTGGAACATTTTAAATATTGTAAATTATTTTGACATGCGCTTTTGTAGAACACGGTCCACTTCATCACACACTGACAAGATTATTTATTACCAATATTTGTATATCAGTGCAATCACTATTCTCTGGGTGGTGCACACAAATGAGTCAACCAAGGGAACAAAATATCATTACTCTGAATAAAACTGCATATATAAAAGTACATAATGTAATATTAATGGCTTCCACAATCATCCAAGCTCAAAGGGATGTTAAAACAGAATTGTTTTCACAGTCTTTTGAAATGTTAAGGAAGTTGGGGTCAACTTAACAACAGGAGCACATTCTGGAGCATGTGGGCTGTTAGTATAGAAGCCTGCCTTCTGGCCCACACACCATATTCATCAAGCAGAATTTCCAGTTCTCCTTTTTGAACTTCCCCATCCCCAACTGACTTCCAATTTTGCCTTCCAAGAAGTATGTTGTGTTGAGATGCTTTAAAGAAAAGACATTGGGGTGAACTGGTGGGATAAAGGCAAAGATTTTATTTCTGACATTTGGCAACTAAAGGAAGCAGGTGCTTCTGGAATGAAGGAACAATGTTTTTCTCAGTTTTCATCTGTTCTGCCCTCCTTATTTCTTCATAGTCTCATAGTAACCTGCCTTCTGTACCTTTTATATGTATTGAGACTACAGCTTTCAGAATCACTTATCTCATGGCCTGAGGTTGGAAATTCTGTGTTGTAACTGTAATGCCTCTGAAGGACACCAGCTGGGTACAGCTGAGTTATTATTTTATTTATTGTATGAAATTGATAGAGCCACCCAACTTCACAAACAATTAATTAAAAAAAAACAATAAAAATAATGGAAACCGAAAAGAACAAGCAAAACATCTAGCAGAAACAACCCCCATCCCAGGATAGAGGAAGAACAGGTCTTTAAGGCTTATTTAAAGGACACCAGAGTTGAGAAAATACAAACTTCTGGTAGGATAGGTGTCTGAAGAAAATGTTGAACTCCTGGTAAATTATGCAGATTATTGAATATTCGTCATTAGCTGGATCAATAATGTAAGTAAGAAGTGAAATTGGCTTCTAATATTGGTTCTTTGGCAATTTGACATTTCTATGTGTGATTGAAGTAATGAGTCTTCAAAATCTGTAGGAGCTTTCTCTAAACACTGATCTTCTTGATGTTTTTCTTTTCCTCTGATTTTAACAGCATGCTTTTTGTTTAAAAGGATGCTTTTTGCAAGTGAATGTTATACCAAGGCTTTGTTTAATTTGTCTGACTTTTATAGGTCAATTGTCAAATCTTCAGGAGCTGAATCTCAGTTACAATAAAATTAAATCGGTTCCTAAAGAACTAGGCAACTGTGTTGGCTTAGAAAGATTGGAGCTTGCAGTAAATAGAGACATCTGTGACCTTCCCTATCAGGTTAGAAAATACCATACTCTTCCTCTCTATGTTCATAATAACAAAGAGTATGTTTAAAATGATTTTTTAATACCAGGTAATGAACATTCATTTATCTGCTCCTCTATGTGAACATACTAGTATGTCTCATCAGACACATTTTGTATCCCTGACATGGAGGCATCATGAATAAAATGGAGAATTTTTTTCCAAGTAAAATTTCAGCAGCTGCAAGTGCAGCCTCACATTGAGATGCCAGTGCTGATAAACTACATCACCGCCTAAGTAAGTATGGTCGAATCATGAGTCTGAGGGCAATTTCATACAATAAATAAACCTCAGCATGAGGTTATCCCTGAGATTTGAATGGCCCCCACCCTGCTTGTGTTTCGAATCTCTTCACCCAGGCCTTGGTCGAGGGTGATTGAAGCCCCCCTTTTTACTTTTTCTTTGTTCTCATCTGGGTTTGTTATCTCTGCCATCTTTGTTCTTTTTTGTTTTGTGTTGTTTTCTTCTTTTAAATATATTTTTTAATACTTTGTAAACTGCCCAGAGTCACTGGGAGGCATATAAATTCAATGAATTATTATTATGAACCTCCAATGCACTAACAGTACATGAGAGTTGCCATTTTAAATCAGCTTTTAGAATCACTTCACATGGTTCTTGGCCAATTTAAGTATATGAACTGTTCTGGAATTATTAGATATACACTTTAGTCCTTCAGAAACCACCCCATGGGGATGAAAAGTATTCTAGGTAGGAAAGAACCCTATCTCTGTGAGATTTCACATCTGACACAAATGCTACTTGACGTAGGGCTGTTTCATGCATCACATCAAGTCAAGGGATTCTTTTAAACTGACTGGTTGAACAAGCCATGAACAGTTTTCCATCTTGTTAAGCCCCAAACAAATCACATTATGGCTTCATGTTATGTGTGAATCAAATGTATAATTCAGCTGCACTTTTTCTGAAATTCTAGAGTACCATATATATTCACATCCATGGATAAGCCTACCTTTACGTTTTTAACCAAAATACCATGAAAAATGTGCCATCTGCAGATAAGCCAACCTGCATTTTCATGGTATTTTGGTTAAAAATTTGAGGGTCTACTTATTCGTGGATGGACTTATCCACAAGTATACTGTATACAGGACATACTGTATATATACAGGTTTGGTTACTTGCAGGACCACCTGTCTTCCATAGTTGCTGCTCATCCTATACAATCCAGCAAAGCTCCAGGTCCCAGGAAGCAGCCTTCTCTACTATAATGCATATAGTAATGCATATTGAGAATGCATCTCTCCCACCAAGATTCATACAGCCCCCACTCTGACATTACTTGGTGAGCTCTTAAAGCCTGGCTCTTTTCCCAGCCCTTAGGCTAGAGTGCTGGCAGGCCCCTTGTAAGTTGTCTGATTTGTGAGATGGTGGTTCTTTTCTCTGGATGTTCTTTTTGTATTCTGTAGTGTATTGTGTTGCACTGTGTATTGTGCTGTACTGTATTCTGTAGATTGTTTTATTTTGAATGCTATATATGGTATGCTGCCCAGAATCATAATGGAGTTGGACAATTTAAAAATAAAGTTCAATAACTGAGCTTAGTGAGCAGAAGCACTCAGTAAAGATCAGGCATTTGTCCAGAGCCCACATGAAACATTTCTGGACATAATGCACCATCTGGTCTAGCTTCATTATTGCTTTCTCAAAATGTTCAGGATCAATGCATTAGTGTGGGGGAAAAAAATCACAGAAATAACATGAATCATGCATAGGTATCATCTCCCTCTTAGTCCCTGAGGAAAGCATTATGGATGCCTTGCCCAAAACACAGAATTTCCGTTATGACTGCAGTTGATATTGTTTGATGAAATGTGGCTTATCAAAATGACCTATCACTGAGGTTCTTCTTCTTCCTCCTCCTCCTCCTTTTTTTCTTAGCTGAGCAACCTGAAGAAACTTTCTCACCTAGATCTGAGCATGAACCAGTTCACTACCTTCCCACCAGTCATCCTAGACATGCCAAACTTGGAGTGGCTAGACATGGCAAGCAACAGGCTGAAAGAAATTCCTACCAATCTTGACAAGTAAATATAATAATCTGAGATGCAATTCATGCCCCTGTGATTTAATTATTAAAGATGTTGTAGTTGTCATTTCATAAACAAAAACAAAAGGTTGTTACCTAGCTAGTTAACTAAAATACAATACAATGCAGGCAAGCAGTTGAATTATATATATCCTGTAACAGTCATAAAGACATACGGGCTTTTTAAAACATGATCTACAAGTTATTTAAGTAGATAGACTGAAATTTATACCATTCGGATCTCATTCTTTTAATTGATTTCAAATGAACACAAAATATCTTATTGAAATTCACTGATCTGAATAATTTCCATACCATTTTAATTTATGTCATGCTTTTTGAGCATTTGTTATAAAAAAGAAATCCTTTAGGTAAATTGTCATTCCTATTTCACAGATGGGGAAAGTAAAGCTGAAAAATATAATGGTTACCTAAATTGATAATACTCAATTTAAAACATCCTAGGTTCGTTATCTGATGGCACTTTATATGCAACTTTAATAGTATTTGGTTCATTGCTGTTGAAATTACAGAAAATGTAAATTAGAGAGAAGGATGAACAGATGAATGAGAAAGTTATTTTGCTGAAGACTGCTGTCCATATTTTTCCCATGAAAATCTGAAGTATTTATCAGATTATTAAAACTTCACTGAGTTGGTCCAGTTGATATTGTCAACTTCAACCAACAGAAATAGCAAGCAGAAAACTACCATCCTCTGGCAGGGAATAGGGTATTAAGACTCCAAATTGCTTAAGGACATCACACTTAACTCTTGCACTCCAGTTCTACAGCCAAAACGAAAAATTCCGCAGTAAGACAAAATATTATATATAATCTTCAGTTGATTTTCTTTCTAATTAATAGACCTGTTTGACTTTACAGAGCACAAAACTTACATACTTTGTGGCTCCAAAGGAATGAAATAACATATTTGCCTGAATCCATTTGTAATCTTAAAAATATGAGCACCCTTGTTCTCACCAACAATAAACTGCAAGATATTCCTGCTTGCCTGAAGGACATGCTAAACTTAAGGTAAGAAAAAAAAAATCTCTGTTGCAGTTGGAAGATTAAGTGCTCTGGATGAATGAACTTTGTAGTCCATGGCTGATGTTTTTAGCTTTCTTTTCAAAACAGCACTCTCAGATTCATGCATCACAAGAGAAACGGACGTGTTCTACTGTGTTACAAATCGGTTCTGCATGGATAGAATTATGCCTTGCAAGATGGAGCTTCTCTTCATTTTTGGTGGTGCAGTTCCCAGTGATTTCCAACTGTGAGCCAAGGCACAAGCATGCACAAAGCCAAGGCGAAGTGTCCCTTGAAAAGTTAGACTCCGTGTTGAATGCATCATTAATCTCACCTCCATCCTCACCACAATAACAACTGAGAATTGACATATGTCTTAGGGAGTAATGGTGTACACAGATTCCTCAGCATCTATTAGAGAATAGCTGAGAGATGAAGGAAATCTAGAGGTATCATTGCCCAAAAACAAATGCAGAGATGCTGCTGTCTATGGTGCTTTAAATTATCTTGTGCATACATTTAATGGTACCAATCCAGCTTATTTTATCTACATCCTGCTAAGAGTAACAATGTGAGTTTGGGATAGATACAGCAAGCAGACATGTTGTAAGGAAACAGCTGCTAGAATGAATGAATGGCCTGGGATAAAGGTACAATGATTCTAATTTCACATGATACAGAATTTTAGTTAACATGAAAATAATGATCCTAACTGAGCCACATTTCCTCCTCTTAGGTATAGCCATGAGGTCAGATGGTTTTGCTTATTCATAGTTTACCATCTCACCTGAATCTGACAAACTGTGGTTATTTTTAACTAGGTTTTGTTGAAACAAGCTATGACAAACTGGAGTCTTCACCTCTACCCCTAAGGCAGGGCAGGCTGCATGTTACTCTTCTATATTTTTCAGTGAGAGCTTCCTATTTTTCTTAGCCCCAACATACAGAGAAATGTCTATGGGTTGCACATATGAAAAAGGATAGATCCCTTTTTCCAGAGCTTCTTTTAAACTCCATGAAATATGATCTGTGTTTACTGTAAGCTAAATAGCCCAGTTCATAATAAGACTAACCTCAGGGTGAACTCAGGAGATTCAGATGGCTCCCACCTCGATGATGGTATTGAAAAGTATTGAAGACCTACTATTCTCCCTGGCCTTGGGGAAGGTTGATGATAGAGCCTCTGTTGGTTGGGTTTTAGTTTATATGTCAGTCTTCAGGTTTGTTTGTTTTTGTACTGTTCTTACATTTTTTATTGTAAGCTGCCCAGAATTGTCAGGAGTCAGATGGCCTCCAAATTGCTTAAACAAACAAACAAAATTAATTCTGGTTCCAGCTAAATACCTTTATTCAAGAAAAGTTCAGAAATGCTCAGTTGCTTTCAAAACAAAGCATAACATTAACTAGCTATACCATTATTTCTCAAGAATGTAGGTCTTAAGACTAGATAGGGAAAGCATCTGTTTGGTTTGTATTTGTTACATTTATATCCTGCCTTTTGTTCAGGAGCAAAAGGTGGCTTCCAAGTATGAGTCTTGGCTCTACCAAGCAATCCAAAAACAGAGATTATAACACATTTTTTCCTATATGGAAGAACTGATCAATTTCAATATCTAGTCATTTAACAAGTGGTCTTGAACATGGATCCATGAGATAATTCCCACATGTACCTATAGAACTGATATATAGCACATATGGGCTCTCAAGCTTGTTGAGGAATAACACTGATTTGCCAAACTTATATTTAGTGTATATAAACATTCCTGTTTAGAGAGAAATTCTAGAAGGGGACAAATATTGGGTCTGTCACAATTTTTATCTCAAAATTTAGTTTAAAAAGATAGCTTAAGAAATCCAGTGACATTAATGGTCAACTGTGGTTAACCTGACACAGACCCTCATATCTCTCTATGGAGTAAGAGAGAGAAAAAAGACTATTTGAATGCAGAGCTAATACAGGCTCAACATTAACACTGAATACCATTATTCAGTGTTCAATGTTCAATGGGCCTTTAAAATACAGGTTTCAAAGAGCAAAATACATCAATACCACCTTGACTGAGGCTTCATAGGGGTTGTGTTACTAATATTTTTACCTCAAGATCAAATTATTAAGTTTGAAACAGTGTTTCTTGTTTCTTTTTTGAAGGAATGCCAGTTTATTAACTCCATTCTGTAATATATAATAGATTTGTCAACTTCAGAGATAACCCACTGAAGCTGCAAGTGACACTTCCTCCTTGCGAGAATGCCGAAGAGGAAGAGGAGCAGGAACTCTATGGAATTCAGTTCATGCATTTATATATTCAGGAGTCACTCAACAGTGAAGGTACCATTTATTTATGGTTAAAATAAACACAGACTCAGTGAGGAGACTGCCCTACTTTTCACTGTGAGGCAGTTTTGTAATGCTTTACATTTTAATCTCCCTTCTCCAACAAAGGATAAATTTTCCATGTGCAAACATTTTTCCCTAAATTGCTAAAATATATTTCACTGCAGGCTAGGAAAACAACAAGCCATGTTTCCATAGGTTAATTCTTGTTACTTGAAAGCAAGACTTCTTTCTGAAGGAAAGCAGCAAGCCTGTAAGCATTGCCATCTCTACTATTTGCTTCCAGCTGAAACCAACTTTCAACAATGATATGATGGGCAAATTAAGTGAACATACAGTGCCAAGACCAAATGAATATACATGATCGGAGGACTTTTTTTTTTTTACTAAGATATATTCATGGTACTAAAAGTATGTGTTAGTGTAAGGAACTAACTCATTTGTGTATATCGTTTTCTAAAATGATGAATCTCTGCCAATTTGAAAGCAAAATGCTATGCAGGGGGCCAAAACACTTCACTATCTTAGGCTTAAACTGAGACTGCATGATTTGCCGAAGATAGGCAAGATTACAGCCAATGGCCTGGCTAATGGCTGTTTCCACAGCAGAATCAAGACCGAAAGAGAGCAAGCTCTTCCCAAGACCAATTATTATATTCATGTAATTATTATATTATTGTAATATAATGAATATCCTCCCAATATTCATACTGGAAAGTCCATGTACAAGGAAACCTTTATCCACTGTAGGTGAAGTAGATCAGTATTCCAAACATTTCTATCCATACAGCTGCTATTTAATGCTGTTACTGAGCTTAGAAATAAAATGCCTGAATATTGATGGAAACTATTCTCTCCTTCAATGAGTGTTACGGGGTGCTGACAGCACAACTTTATTTGTATCACTACTACTACAATGGATTTCATTTAATCCAATCTATAAATACTTATTTTAACTTGTTTACTTCATAGATACACTGTTCCTCACACATTAATAGATTTAGTATCAAGCCAACTCTCAAGGGCTGAGTTGGCACATAATACTAAACGAGGTTTTTTAATGACAGTTTGTTGAACAAACAATAGTGGCCTTGTGCACAGAAAACATGAATCCAAAGTGGATTGGTTCACACTAAAGTAAAAAAAACAACAACCAAGCAACATTATCTCTTTTAATATTGTCTGAATCAGATGAATGTGACCTACAATATTTTAAGAACTGTTAAAATAAAGGCAAATTTGTGATACTAGAATTTCCTTGATATTACGGCATTTGATAGTGTTTAAAAGTTGAGGTCCAAAATATTAAAGGCACCCAATCCTATCTTGAACTCTATATTATTCTGATACATAAACCTGAGCACTAATACCGTTCATTTGAGCACCACGATGTGTGAGCTTAATGGTATGCACAAGCCATGCTGCAATGGTTCAGTCAACAAACCATTAAAACTTCCTGGTTAACCACTGTGTGTGAATATAACCTAAATGTTGCATTCAGCATATAGCTGGTAGTAACACACAATGTGTGCTTTTCTCTTTTAAAAAAAAAATGGGAGAGGAGGCTCAGGACTGGGATTACAGAGTTCTGGAGAGATTAACTCTTTCATCTTGTGCTACAGAACTATAGAAAAACCACAGTCTCTTCAAGAGAGTTGCAGGGGCAGAATGGGCATTACAAAAAGAGCACAGGATGAGAGAGGAAATGCCACCTGCTGGTGCACAAGATTAAGTACTGTAAAAAATAATGTCATGTTTGACCCACAGTGGGTACCTAGGTCAGTTTAGCTAAATGCCTTAATCCTTTGTAAAAATATAGTTTAAAAACACTTTTGAAAGCTTCATACAGATATACTGAAAAATTAAGTTTTAAAAAGTTGTTGGTATATTTTTGAAGAAATGTATATTTCTTGGCAAACATTACATTTCTCTTTCAGAAAATATGGAAAGTGATATTCCAGGTGCTGCTGCTGCCACTGACTGAAAGACAAAAATAACACCAAGCTAATATGGTTACTATTACACTTTTTTTGGAGCACAGAGAAACTGAACTGCAGCCAGTTCTGTTGCAATAAATATCTTGAGCTATCCACTCATTGGTGCATCTCTTCCAATCCCAGAGGACACTGTAAACTATCCTTGGTTTGTTAAGCACAATCCTGGACATTACAAATCTGCAAAAGTCCTGGAAGCAATGAAGCTCCTGGAAGGCCTCTTCTAGTTTTTAAGCAGTTGTGGAAGATACCAAAGACTGAGATGGAACAGCTGTCAAGAGAACATTTTCTAATGACACACTTGAGTCTGTATAGTGTTGCAACACAGCTTCATATCCTCTCTGCTCTAAGTATTCAGTCCGACCATGATCAATCAACAGTTTGCAAAGGTAACCTATCTGCTTTCGTTCATCAGTGGTCAGCAGCCTAGAACCAAAAAGGAAAAAAATACTTTAGGAAATACTATCACAAACCTTTGGGCACTCTATTTCAAGAATTTCAATGCAAGCTTGTTTTTTTCCCAATTTAAAATCGAGGAATCATTGTATAGTACTAATGTATTGTGACATAAATGTTAATTGAGCAAACAATTAGTCCAATTTTAAACTTTGTAATTGCATTAAATGACAAAATACATTTTGGCAGTAAAGATATTTAATACAATATATTTCTTTCTGAAGCCTATTGTTGTAGAGAGTAAGGAAGACAACCTTGATAGAAATATGCAAGAACAGTTACCTGGGCAAAAGGGGCTAAAACATTTTTGAAGTCCAGAACAATGAGATAACATTTGGAAGTGACTAGGCAGATGCTTCCCTAATTCACTGGAGTATCAGAAGGAGGCGGTACAGCACAATCAGACTTGCAATATTGTTATTATAGTAAATCTCAATAAAAATAGTTTTAGTCTTCCTGTGGAATTAATCTCCTGGTCTGGTCTACCTAATGGCGCTGACAACTGTATTGAAAGTGACCACATACCCTTGAAGACTATCCAAATTGCATTCAGTATTTATTTCATCTTGGTCATGTTCATCTTCGTTACTTTGTTCTTTATTCTGCATGCCACTTCTGCTGGTTTCTGTTGTTCTTTCTCTCATGCCACAAGTAGCCCAGCTTGTCATTCTTTTTAAAAAATTAAATTCTTTTGGGCCAAGTCCTACTCTTTTAAAGAAATCTTGGCCAACGTAATGGTTCCACTCACATCTGTGATGACAACAAAGTGCAATAACAATTCCAGCTATAGGGCTCCAGATTTCAGTTACACGATTGCTATACATTTTGCCAGGATAATGATAATTTATGTTAGTTCCATCCGTCTTGAGGCGCTTAGTTACTGGGCCTTCCTTTTCTTCAGCACAACATTTCACATAGGTGTCAACTAAGCATCTCAGAGCAAGATCTGTGAATACAGGAGGATTATTTTTACCTTTAATTGCTCCATGCAATCAATCAGTCAACACACACTTAATATAACTGAACATTCTATATAATTTATAATTGGACCATATTATTAAGCACTTTACATCACTTTTTTTTTTACTTCTGACACAAGTTTATCACGTAGCATTCATTTTAAGCTAGCTCTTTGGTATTACTGTTTAATAATAATACTAAGCATGTTTATTGACTTCAATAAGCCTTGTACACAAGTGTCAACAGTAATCAATGTATGTTAGCAACTGTGTGTACGTGAATGAAAGCCAATGATAAGCCTTTTAATACTTCATTATCTTTTTAATGACTCTTATGACATCATCTTCATCACATGAACAATCTGTACAATGTGTACCTGTTGCAGCACCACACAGATGCTTTCCAATTCCAATCAGAGGTAGTTTCTCTTCCACAAGAAGAGGTACTTTACCTGTCAAAAAAAAATCCAGACAGAATTATGACATTCTGCTATCATCTTTGTGAACATTATACATTATCCTTCCTCAACTTAATTCTTGGCCAATAACTCTCATGATCCCTGAACTTTATCTCTGTTAGTGCTGATGGGATGTGTAAGTCAAAACATATGGAGGATTCAAGGTAAGGCATACTGCTAGATTTATATGCAATAAACCACCAGAGGAAAATTCAGATTTAATTTAAATGTTAATTGAAGTGTAATATTAACATGAACTATGGATTAGGTTTGACCAGATTCTTACAACAGCAGCCACAGAAGGGAAGCAGTATCAAATCTAAACATAAAAGAACTTCTGAATCAGATTAAAAGTCGATCCTATTCAACATTCTGGTTCCCACAAGCACTTTTCCAGCAGCATATGGAAAGCCCACACAATAGTCCTCTTCTAGTATATGCAATACAGCATTATTTGACTTATTAATCTTGGTCCATGATTACAAGAAATATGCAAAATGTTCCATGTGCAAATAATTTCCACATGAAACAGTTTTGGGTAGTCCATGCCCAAACTGAAATACATGTGTTTCAGATGTTTTGGTATATAGAATAAAATAGGGCTGTTTTGTCCCATAATGAAGTTATTCTAGGTAGCGGGGTTTAGAGAGGGGGAAAGAGCAGAAAAAGCCATGACAGCAGCCACTAAGGAGAGGGAGGGAACAAAAAGCACTCAGAAGATTGGAAGGGCTGGGGGCCATTCTATGACATCACTGGTGGCAGCTGGAAAACAGAGGGAAGGAAAATGCTGGGAAGACTGGGGAGGTGAGTGTGGCTATTGAGATACACCATGCTGGGAGGAAAAGGTGGTGATGTGCACCAGGCTAGCCCGCCCAATATAATCAATCCTGGATCACCCAATAGGATCTATCTGTTTTGCCTGAAACTACAACCACAATACTGAATACTGTTTCTGCTAATCTGAAGCAATATGGCAGAACTTATGGAATGCAATTGTTTGTTGCAGATTTGAAACAAGATTTATTTTATGTTTCGTGCACACCGCTACTATTACGAACACCAGAAGTACAAATAAAGATCTTGGGAAGTGTTTTGTAATAGTTCAGTTTATATAGAATTACAGATTTCTATCTTAACTGTGTTTCATTTCATTTATGCCAAGGCTAAAAGATAATACTTTTATCCTTAACATTACACAGCTGACCTTATACTTGAGCAAGAAGAATCTTGGCATCCAAAACCAATTCTCTAGCCATTGTGTTTCTATCATAACTACAGTGAACACAACTTTATCTTGCATTAATTTAAAAAAAAATAACCACGATCATTTGCACTGTTTTTCAGAGAGTTCACACAGAGACCTTTAAGCAACTTACTTAAACACAAGTGCTGGATATCAACTTGAAGCCTCTCAAAGTAATGTTTTCTGTGTTTGCCATCCACCTGCGTAGTCAGAACTACAAATATTATTATGATGTATTGGCCACTTAAGAATCTATTCCATGCACACTGGTATATTTTACAACCCAGAAAAAAAGTGTTTTACACCAGTTGATGGTATTATTGGCAACATTGCAAATCCAGTAATTTTAAACTTTTTTTTTTTTGCAATTACTTTTTGAACTGAAATACTTCTTTATTAAAATGTTTATTGTCACATTATTACAATAATTGCCTTACCTTGAACCTGGTAGGTGCCCTTTCAACAAGAAGAAAATGAACATCTTGAGAATCCTGTAAAGCTATATCTAACCAGTGGGACAGTTTTCCCCGTCCAGCTCCAAATTCAACAAAACAGTTCCCTGGTCCAAGCAAATGCAATCTTTCCATGTTACCCAATATGGAAGCCTATAGACATCAAATTATTATTTATGAACCAGCAAAGATATTCATTGCACTATTTGAATTAAAGCATTAATAAATCCAAAAATCAGCAATAGATTTTTGTAACTCTTACTGTATTACTAATTGTAATTCTTCCTAAATGAACAGGCTTTGTGATTTATTCTATTACCATCTTAGGGGTTGCATGACCTGTTACTCTAAGTTCAAATTATATTATTTTTAGTACATTCAGAAAACGAATCCTTTCATGCTAATATTTCCTTCCAGCATATACTACAAAAATTTCATTTCCTTCATGTGAAAACTTAGAACAAAAAACAAAAAACAAAAAAAACACCCAACAACAACCCTGAGTGGTTCCATTACAGTATACACAAAACAAAAATAAAGTCAGATTCAGCAATACTTTTATGAAATTTCTAGAGAATGCAGTTGTGGATTAAACTGAGATTAAAAAGCATAAAGGATAAAATTAACAGTGTTTTAAAAAGGATAATAAAGCTATTCACCAGCTGGAAAGCAATTTCTTTAGTACAAGAAACACTACTAAATATATTATTTTTTGCAAGACAGGTACCTGCTGCTTCAAATGTTTAAAAGCTGCGTCTCCATTTTGGGGATCATTTAGGGCCTCTTGTAAGGCCTGATGAGAAAGGATTTGGTCCTTAAGTACATAATTTATAGCTGAAAATAGAATGCAGAATTTCTGGTTTGAGTTTCAATTGAGTTAACCACAAAAATGTTCTCCTAAATATCTGGTGTTACTATTGTATGAAGAAACTAATATCTGCAAATATTTTAAATGCTAGCATTCAATAACTTTACAATGTAATTCTTATAAGAGTTATTTCTAAATATTTCATCGTTTATATTGTGTGATTGCCCATATAAAAATAAAATACTCACTGTTACTTGCTTTTTTTAGCTTCTTAATTAAGTCCTCTAATTCTTGTTTAGAAAGTGCAGAAATTGGTACTTGCTGGAATGGACACAGAATATTTATTTTGTTTATATAAACCCATCTATGCAAAGCAAAAATAAGGCTTAAAAACAGTATTACGTTTGTTCTGATCCAAACAATATCCAATTCTCTTTGACTAGAAAATATAATTAGATAAAGGGCAAGGATAGTAATAAATACAGTACAATTCACAGGAGCGGAAGAACTCTTCTTTTTGTTTTGTTTCCAACCTCCCAGTGCAAATACGGGTAACCATATCCAGCCATCAGGTTATGTGGGGATGGGTGCGCTGTATCTTATGTACAGCTGTTTTACAACTTTTAATGTCATCTTTGAATCCTGAGTGTTTAGCATGCTATACAAACACTTGTATTCAATCCTATATCCATCTATCTGGAAAACATACACATATGAACCAGTTCAGGAATGGTTGACATTGCCTACAACTGGTCCATGAGTCACCACAGAGGCAGCCTCTACCTGTATTACCTGCTCCAAACATGGTGTTTTTCAGCTTCTTCTGGCACGAGGTATGCTGTGGGGTCCATGTGCAGAACTTTTTATCAAGGTAAACTATGAGTAGGACCTGCCCTGCTCCTATTGGTCATCTGAGTGCGCTGCAGGCATGCCCTCTCTCTGCTTCCTGGCCACTGGTTTTCAGGGTCATTTGCCTTTGGACAATGGAAGTCTCAGAGCTCTCCCACTGTGCCAAAGAGCTGTCTTTCCCAGTGTTGCCAGAGCTGGCAAAAGAGCCCTTGCTGCAAGAGTTTGGAGGGATGGCAAGAAAAGGGGAGGGGAGGGAAGAGTGCTTTTTATTTGTCAGTTCTATTCCAGAGTTAGTAAATAAAAAAATACAATGCAAAGGGAAGGGATATGGAAAGGGAGGGCTTTTTAGCCACCCCTATCACAGGTAAAGTTGCCCACCTAGCCTCAATAGAACAGGCATAGAAGTGCTTGAACTGAAGGGCTGAATCAGTACATTTTCTGACACATTTCCAGTAGTCTCCCATAAGACTGCTGGACATATGTAAATTAGGTGCATCAAATTAGAAAGAGCCTCTTCAGCGATAGTAATTCTGCCAATTCCCAATGGACTAAATGCTGAATCTGCAGTGTGTGTGTGTTTTGTAGAGTCTTTGGTGCTCTCTGAGCTTAGTTGTTTGTTTGCTGACTAGATAACATCATCAGTGCTAGTGAGTGTGGGGTTTGCTCCCTGCTTATATATAGTAGTTTGTCCTGCCAATGTTGCTGAGGGTGTGGTTTTCTCCTTAGTAGTTCCTTGATTGAGATATTGTTTTCTGCTTGTTTGTCTGGTGTTAATCTCTGCTTACCTGGGTGTAGGCTGCTGGAGACCTTGTGTTTTGGTCTTTTTGTTTCCTTCTTAGCTTTTTTATTGTCTTTTGAATGGTGGGTAAATGTGGTTTATCTCTATGTGTCTATTGATGGCTGATTTGTCTGAATGCCAAGCTTCCAGGAATTCTCTAGCATTTTTGGGAATAAGCTTATTATTATCTAGGATGCTCACAGTTTCCCAGTTTAAATCACAGTTGACTCTGTCCACGTGTTGTGAGATTAAGGAGTTTTCATCATGTCTTCTGACTGCTGACTCTGTCCACGTGTTGTGAGATTAAGGAGTTTTCATCATGTCTTCTGACTGCTGACTCTGTCCACGTGTTGTGAGATTAAGGAGTTTTCATCATGTCTTCTGACTGCTGACTCTGTCCACGTGTTGTGAGATTAAGGAGTTTTCATCATGTCTTCTGACTGCTGACTCTGTCCACGTGTTGTGAGATTAAGGAGTTTTCATCATGTCTTCTGACTGCTAGTTGGTGTTCATGGATGCGCTCTGCTAGCCTTCTGCCTGTTCTACACAGTGGCTGTTACATTTCTTACACTGTATGTTGTAGACGACTCCTGTTTTTTCTTCTTGGGCTACTGGGTCTTTTGGTTTACTTAAGATGTACTGGAGGGCTTTAGTTGTGTGTTTTTGATAAGCATCCATTGATGTTACAGAAGTCTGCTGGAATCATCTCAAAAAGATAAAGGAAGCAACCCTTTAGCTGGCATCCCTGGCAGAAAAGCTGCCCCTCTGAGGCTTAGGTGCTCTCACACTTAATCTGCCGTGGGTTTTTTGGACACATATCCACCCCTTGACTTCAGAGGTGTTGTTGGTTGAAGAACTACTTTCCCTACTTCTTTTCCACCAGTGGTTCACTCCCCTCCCCCCCCCCGAGAGTATGAGAACGTGGCTCTTCAGCCAGTGCCTCCTATGATAAAAGAGGATTTGCTTCTCCTCTTTTCCTTTTCTACCTCTTTACTTGTCACCCGTGACAAAAGAAGCAGAGGTAGAAAAGAGGTCCACAATTTTTCTTCTCACTTCTCTTGCAAGTTTGGGGTGGGGGGAGAAAGGTGGAAAAAACAGACAGAAGTGTTGCTCTGGTGCCACTTCTCCAATCCCAAGGAGTAATTACTCCACGAGATCAGAGAACTGACAGTAGAAGACCTACGGACCTTCTGCTGTTAATAAGTGGCATCAAAGGAGGCATTCTCCACTCTGGTTCTCTCTCACTTCTCATGCAGATGGACACCCTATCCTGCTTGTTGCCAAGATAGAACAAGGGTCCAAAGTATAGTCAGCCCTTCTTTAAGCTAGCATACTTTTCTGCCAGTTCCTGATGTGCTGCCATGGGGAAGAGCCCTTGGGTGTCAGAGCAAAATAAATACCTCTGCCCATTCTAAAAACAGGATTTTCCTTCCTGCTGCTCAGATAACATTAGATACTTTTAATTGCCAAGGCCACCAGTCTTGCTACTGTAGTTCTGCAACAAATGATGCCTATAAACATACAGTATGGACAAATCTGGATGTTTATGTTATCCCTGCAACTTCTATAAAACAGTATTTTTCCTATAGCATTCTCATTGAACTTATTATTATTACTATTACTATTATATTTTTAATCCCATCTGTCTGTCTGTTTATCTGGTCGAATCAATGCGGCAAACATATCTAATACTCCTGCCTCCTATTTTCCCACAGCAACAATCCTATGAGGGGGTTGGGCTGAGAGAGAATGGCCCAGCTGGCTTTCATGCCTAGGGGAGGACTAGAACTCAGTCTCCTGGTTTCTACGCTAGCATCTTAATCACAACATCAAACAGGTTCTCTATAAATAATAATATAGTTATTTAGATTTTTAAAAAGCAGAATTTATCTCTTGTAACAGTTCAAAATACATTTAAGATTTATTCACCTGTCCTTCAGACAGCTCTGTTTCATTTTTCAGTCCCGCATTAATATCTTTAGCAAAGTAAACCTTAAATGAAATATGGAGTAAATATTAAATTATAGACTAATTATAATAGAACACTTTTCTAGTATGCTTACACACATTAACCTTTAAACAGTTTAAGGAAAAACAAAATAATTTATCACTCTGTAGCTTGATTATACCTACAGTACGAGACAATCATAAAGTTATTATTTAGTAATGTTTAGGCAAGTGTATACAGATAGGTGAACCAAGGACTATTTTTTTCTATCAGCAGAGTAAGAAATTTAAGTAAGTTATGAATGTTATGTTCATTTTACATGTTTTAATGTTTGATTGTGATTTTGATTAATATCTTTATTTTCAAAATCTATTATTTTCTACCTTATTTCTTGTTTCCCTCTTCTTCAATGATATCCTTGTAAAATCTTGCTGCTTTTGCTGCTACCTCCTAAAAGGGTTTACCTTATACTTTGATATTTGTGGCTTTAAGGGAGCACTCTGTCAACAATTTTTGCTCCGCTATAATATGTAACACCCACATAGATTGCATCCACAGACTCTGGATGCTTCCAGATAAGGTTTTCATTATGCAATTATCTGGCTAAATTCACTTAATTCTATAAAGGATTCAGATAACACTACCTTCTATTTGCAACCTTTCCCATGTTTCTCCACAAATTTTCCAGTCTTGGTTTTCTCTGAAAATCTGTTAAGTATGGGAAAGTAGAATAGTGGTACAATATATTTGATTAGTGGTTCTGTGATGCTTCCATCTGGAAGTATCCTTATTTTCATCAGAGTATTAATGGAAAGAAACATCACTGCACAAGGCAGTTCTGCTTGTATGCCCCTAGAAAGCCCCCTTTAATTTCTTCAAGCAGTTCCAAGGACACTTACAGGCTTTGGCTTCTCTCTTGAATTACATTTTTTCAAGTGTTTTTGTAGCTGATCTTCATACACAGTGCTAAAATTAAAAATAAATAAACTAGCAATGCTGGTCATCATTCTTTAAAAAAAAATCACACAATCAACTCTTGCTTACTGTTTTGGATCCAAAGGGCAAGGAATTCTTTTCCTTTTATGTTCTTCCTAGTTAAAAAAAATAAACAATTTACTAAAACTTAAAATTATACCCTTTCTCAGCAACACACCTGCCGCCCCCCGCATAAAACTGAATCCCAGTTGAACCAGATATAATGTAATGGAATATAAAAAACAAAATAGAATTGATTTAGATTAGAATTAACAATATGTTGTTTAAAAATGTGCCTTAAATCCAGAGGTGGTGTGAAAGAAACCTTCCTTGAAAAAGTTATCCAAGGGTGCTTGCTGTTGTTTTTCAAAAACTGTTGTATTCTGCCACTGCCTATTTCCACTTCTACTTGTTTTCCTGGAAGGTGCCAACATTTTCCCTATGCCCTGAATGCTATCTTGCATAGAAACTAAGCCAGCCTTGCCCAGCCCAGCATAAGTTGCTCCATATAACCACGCTCACAATCATCAGGACAATTTCCAGTATTGGATGGAACAAAGCAGGAGGAACTTTTACACAGGATGCAAATAGAGATGAAATGGGATGAACCAGGAAGCCTAATGACATCTTCTCGCATAGCGTGTGTGTATCTGTATGTACTCTACATATATGAAATGCAGATGGCCTGATCAGAATCAAAATAGATTTCCTTCCTTACTCTGCCTATATCAGAAAAGATAAACTGGAAACTTATTAAAACAAAACCGAGCGGGCCCTTATTTTACAAATGAAACGGGTCGTTTGCTCCAGGTGGTCCAGCGGCTTCTCTCGCTCTCCTCTACTACCTCCTGAGCGCTGTGCTCGCCACA